AGGTCCTGTCTCAAAAATGAAACAAAGGGCTGGGGATTTAGCTCAGTGGTTCCACTGCCTGCCTCAAAAGCACAAGGCCCTGAGTTCAATCCTTGGTACAAAAAAAAAAAAAAAGAAAAAAAAAAGAAAGAAACAAAAATATGGTACAGAGATTAAGTATTGTAGGACACCATATTTGGCATATATGTACAGTGGAAATGGTCAATGGTCTGGCTCAGATTTTTGCTTTTCAGTTCAACAGGTGACGTACATGTCTTTTAAAAAGGGATCACCTACTAATTCTTTGTACTTAGTCACATTTTATTTTCTTACATAGTTCTTAACCCAAAGTGTATTTTATACATCAGGATACAAGGGTATTTTTTTGCTCAGTATATGATGCTTCAGGCTGGGGATGTAGTTCAGTGGTAGATAGCTTGCCTAGCATGTATGAGGCCCTGGGTTCAATTTCCAGCACTGCTTTGTATCACGTAAGAAAATATGGGAGCTTTTAGAAATTATAAAGCAGGGCTGGGGATTTAGCTCAGTGGTGCCACATCTGCCTCTCAATGAGAGCACAAGGTTCTGAGTTTGATCCCTGGTACCAAAAAAATAAAAATTAAAAATTAAAAAATACAAATTTAAAGCACAGGGAAACTTGTATTTCAGTTAACATGGTTTCAGAAACTGCACATATTCTTGAATATTTTGGAACTTGATTGAGTAAAATCAACCCACATGTTGGCTACTTGTGTTTCATTGCTTATGGCGGGTAGCTTTATTGCCAGTATTCAGAACCCTTAGGAAATGACTACTTCTCAGAGGTCTCTTCCAGGTGTAGTTGTCTTTTGGGTTTTCAGTCTGTTGCAAGATCTTACCTCTTCAATTTATATTGGGGATGAGAAGTTTCTGCCTACTTGGCCTAGCTGCTGATTCTTTGGTACTGGTCTTTTTTTTTTTTTAATCCTTAGGCAATCTCAGTCTTGGTAAACCAGGAAGAACTGATTAGCACAATTATGTCACCTTGGCTAAAGCAGTACAATCAGCAATAACAATGGCATCAAATACAGCCTAGAAAATGACAAACTGGTAATTATTTGCCACCATTAACTGTACAAACTAGATTTATAGTTATATAACAAAATCTAAAACGAACCAGAAGATTGTATGCAATAAATAAGCCCTTAATGTGGCACTTTTACCCTTAGGGGAGATTTAAAAGGGGATGGAGGAAAAATAGAGAAATAAAATAGGAAGAGATTAGAAGCAAGGCTGGAGGACAAATGGAAATTGTACAAACTTTGAGAAAGTGGTTAAGACAGGAGGAAAAGAGAAAGGAAGAAATAAAAACAAGAACAGAACAGAACAAGAACAAGAAGAAAAAAAACTAGAAACCCTGTTCAAACAATCAAGAAAAAACAAGAGCAAGAACCAGAAAAGAGGAAAAAAGAAAAGGAAGTGCAATTCAAGATATGTCTCTGTTGTCACTAGTAGATGACATGGGCAGTGAGAGCCCACAGCCAAATTGATTAATCCCAGCAAGCCAGCTGTGGCTTTATGGTAGGGTAATGGATAATCCCAGCCACCCCGCACCTTTAGTTCCATTTAAGTTCAGGCTGGTTTCTGGCTATGAGGCTGGAACCAGATTTGTTGAGCCTGCAACAGTACATGTGCCTCCTGCCAGCTTGAACTCAGTTCCCTGTTCTCCTGCTGATTCGAACTCAGCATCCTCACCAAGACACCAGGAGCCACTAGATAGAGTTGGCCAGTAGCTCTGCTGAGTTCTGAGCTCAGTTGGCCCCTCTCCAAGATGGCTACCGGCCAATAGCCCTCTCCTGGGTGATGTTTGAATCTGAATAACTCACCAGCCACTGCAGTCTGCTGTGTCCACTGCTCTGTCCCACTGGTGTGTTTTTTTGTGGAGGCCTCTGGGATTGCCAGTAGTCATTGTGCATCTGCAGGTTCAACTCGCTGTTCCCACGCCATGAGTCTGGACTCTGGGAGAAAGTGCTGCTTGCTACCTGCCTCCTCCTCCTCATTGAAGCCTCTCTCTTTGCTCTCCCCATGGACTTCAGTTCTCATTTCAGATCCTTCCTGGGTCTTGGGGACCCACTTCCCTCCTCCTCACACTGCTATATTTGTGTCAAGACACCAAATCTCAGAGGCTTTCTCTGCTCCTCAGCTCTCTGTCAACTTCCCAGAAGTGTTTCCAAAATCAATATGAGACTCCCTTTATTATCAACACTTATTGGTCATGTTCCCTACCTATTTTTCTTCCTCTTGCTCCACAGTTAACCTCTGTCCCTTGGTTCCTTTCCTCTATTTTCTTTAGAAATTAGTTTATATTGTTTATCTCTTTCTTTGCATACAATGAACAAAATGAAAATCCACCAACTGCTTTACCTGTCACCTAAGGCTCCCAGTGGTTTTATAGATGAAGACAATAGAGCAGAGAAAAAGGAAATGACTTCCAGATCACACAGCTCACAGCTAATGGAGTAAAGATCAGAACCAATGAAGTCTTGGCTCCAAAGTTCTGATTACCATTGTACTACTTCTCACCAGATCCCTATCTCTTCAAATCTACACTTCTACCCACCAACTTTTTGGAGTTACTAGTTTTATTCTCATTTATTGTTTACTGACGGAAAAGCACAATGTGCTCAAGACTGAGGTTTCAAGAGTTGCACTGTCTACTGGAGCATATAGTCCAGATGAAACAAACAAGAGGTTACTGCTATGAAGTATGTGTGGCGGCGGCAAGTAGTACATACCCTCAGTAGGGGCTGATTCCAATACCTTCTTCCTAGAGGAGTTTGAGGGAAGGGAGCCAGCCTGGTGGAATTTGAATACCAGCTTCACAGTTTACTTCCTGGGAAACTCTGGGGAAATTAAACTCTTTTTAGGCCTGAAAATAAAAATAATAGATGAGACCTATTTCTCAAATAGCTATCCTAGCTTCTTCCTTGATAATTTTCAGCTGACTTTAACATTCAATGCTATGCCCCTAACTCCATCTCAGTGTTCAGCTTGGTCCTCTTCTGAGACCTAATTCCAGCTACCAGTTGGCCATCTCTACCTGGTCCCTGCTCCCAACTCACTTAGTAGTCTCAGAACGTGCTGTCTCAAAACCCAGTGTTGAAGAGTGCACTATCCCCTTCTGCTGCTGGTACCACCATTCTTCCAGAAATCCAGGGGTAGAAATCTGTTGAGTGTTTTCTCTTCCTTACCCCCAACATTGACTGGCTTTTCAAGTCCTTAAGTTCCTTTTCCTTTACATATTTACTAAAGTTTGACTTCAGTCTGGCCTGATGCTGCAGTAGCCTCTTCCTGACTCCTCTCTGCAGTTAAGTCTGTCTCTCAAATTACGGTGCCAGTGGATCTTCCTCAATCACAGCTGATCCCCTCTCCTAGCCTTCTAGGCTATCCTCTTACCTCATCATCTTTTCTTCTCTATTGCTCATCTCTCTTTCTTATACCCCAGTCAGCTGAATTATCAGTGTTCTCATATCACAGAGAAGGTATCCTGATTTGTTCTGTTCTGGAATACATTCTCCATTTCTGAAGGTCCAAATATTGCCCCATCTTCTAGAAAAATCTCCCCCACTCCTCTGGTTGGAAATCCGTCTCCTCCTGATGACAACAGTCATTTTATCACTCTTCTAAGTACCTGGTAGTTTCTATCATTTATGTATTTTATGCATCTCCTCTCTCCTCATGGATGTGAGTAGAGATTCCAGTTGTGACTCATTCTCATGTTTTACTTTTTCTAACACAAGCTGCTCAAAAATATTTTATAAATAAGTGTTCAAGCCAATTGTGGTGGCACATGCCTATAATCCCAGCACTTGAGAGGCCGAGGTAAGGGTAGTTCTTAGGCCACCCTGGGCTACATAGCAAGACCCCATCTAAAGAAAACAATCAAATAAATAAATGCTTAAGAAATGAATGGGAGACCATAAAGACAGGTGAATAGAAAGATGGAATAGAAACAGCAATAGCATATTAGCATTGGAATGATTGCTGAGAACTAGAGTGCTAAGAACTAGGGATCTTTCCATCACAGGGATTTTAAGCAAGAAAAGTAGTTACTATAGTCACATCATGTGAAAAGGGAATTTTCCAGGAAGGCAGCACTGTGAAAAGGGACAAAATGCAATCATCTTGATGTTCATATCCACACACTGCTGAGTAGAAATAAATGCAAATAAGATTTTAAAACTATGGGTTTTTTCAAGGAAATATTTATCTCAATAAGGGACAGGGAAGAGCAAAGAACAGATATGCTAGAAAAATAAGTTAATAAAAATATACTGTTCTAAACTCTCATTTTTGCTTTTACTTGGCAATCTACAGGATCTCAGCATCACCCCTTGCACCTGAATTTAAATATTCCACTACACTTGTCTTCTGTGGCTGTTATTTTCTAAAAATCAAATGAACTTAGCAAGCATAACCTCAAAGGTTTGCAGAGATTTAGAAAAGAAGCCTCCTTAAGTAAAAACTACCAAAAGTTTAATAATCAACTACTACATAATCAAAGAAATGGACAGATCAATTTTGAGCATACTTCTCCATACTGTTAATTTCAGAAGCACAAAAATTGATGAAATTCTATTAGTGTTGGCCATTTTTAAGTACTGTGGGCATCAGCTTCTAGTCTCAAAACATTAATTTCTTTTAGAAAAGCAAAGTACAATTTTTGAATATATCTTAAACATTCCTGGATTAGAAACCAAGGAAAACAAATCCAACTCTCTCTCTCTCTATCTCTCTCACCATTCAATCCCAAAGTGAGATAAGGCAGATGGATTGCCATGAATTTGAGGCCAGCCTGGGCTCCACAGTGAGTTCAAGGCCAGTCTGGACTATACAGTAAGTCCTTGTCTTAAAAAAGAACAACAATCACACAAACACACACACACACCCCCTACATTTAAATAACAAAGCAGGAAAATAACTACCCTGAATTATGAGTTTCCATCAACATCCAGGCAAATGAAATAATGCTAAAAGCAAGCTACTTCACAGCAAGATTTATTAATACATCCAAAAGAAAGATCATTTTGTCACACTATATACAGATAATACATAGTGTTTTATACACATATTACATCAGTTTTTACACAAGAAAAATATACATAAAAATGTAAACCTTTGTATACAAAAACCCTTAAACAAATTAAACAAGGACCAGATAACAAAAGGAGACCAATCCATTATTATTTCATCAAATTTTAAAACAGTAATACAGTACATTCATTGAGATATATATGGAAAATGTGAGCCATCTCTTCTTGTTTAAAGGGAAATTACAAACCAAAAGCCCATAATCTTCCGCAATGTCTTCTCCATCAGGGACACCACATCCAATGCCACAGACACACCTTTACATCAGATATGGGGGCTCCTATCAAAGTCTGCCCACTTCCTCATCTTTTGCTGTCAAAATTTTAAAAAGTGGCTTCTAGTTTTTGAGCATATAACTAAGCTTGCAGCCACTATTAACAGCAAATAGAAGGTTCTCAGTTTGTAAATTCCCTTTAAGCAGCTTTTTCGCTTTCAATATATTTTAAATGTATGATACATTAAACATACTTGTGTGCCAAAGTGAATGAGAACACTGAAAAGGGGCTTTGAGAACTGCTAGTCCTTGCTACCGTGCAGTTAGTTTGTTAGAAGAGATTTAAAAACTGTCCAATCTGTCCTTCACTGGTTTCAAATAAGCTACCTCACCTTTGATTTCCCACTGCAACTTGGTTTCAAGTTACACTTCATTACTCTAGTTAGTACCACATAACTACCAAGAGGCTTTTTTGTGTTAAAGGCTGCTTCTGATATCAAGTTCCAGCTAAGCTACTCTAAAATCATTCAAACCCCAACCTCTCTATTATGGTCTTCAGGGGTACCCTGACTCCACACACACCCCTGCCCCCAGCATCTTACTGCTTAGGATTGTCCATCTACCTTCCCCTCTCGGAAGTTCTTGAGATGTAATCTGCTGTCAACTCATCACAGTATAAAATAATATATAACAATATATTCTTAACACTCTTGCATTCATTGTGTCAAACTGACACACAAATGAAAAATACCTGAAGCTGTGGGGAATAAGAATTAAATCTACATCAAGGATATGCAACTTAAAGAGTTCTTTAAAAAAAAAAAAAAAAAAAAAGATTAGGAACACCTTTAAATAAATGCAAAATGTGTGTAAGAGCTTCAGGATAGAACTGTCTTCTTCCAAAGCTGAATTTTGAACAAGGCAGAATAACAATTAGGTGATATATTTCCCTGCAGCAAGAGAGTACTTAACTTACCCCCAGGCAAAATGATCTCAATGATCATTATTTATTAATGAAAAGAAGAGGCAAAATGGTGAATTGAGTTGATCTAGGAGATGGTAGATGACACACACTAATGGAAATAATAGGATCACTTCATAACTGAAATAACAGGCTGGGGTGTGGTACAACTCCATTTCAGAAAGGAAAACTGAGGCAAGTTCCTCAAGTAAATCTTGTCTCTCATTGGACAGGTGGCATTCAAAAAATGATAGTCTCCCTTTCAGTTAAAGAAACATAATAAAAGGAAAAAGAAGATAAATAAATAATGTGTGGATGTTTCAGATGAGACTTTTAAATTTTTTTAAATAATTTCTGATAATGTATTTTAAATCATTACATACAACTGCCATTGCAGTGACAATTTTCCAGTAGGGGTAGCATTTTGCTAAATGTAAAGGATTGCCATTTAAAACTTATACATGTACATGTGTATATACAGTTCTATCAACATTATTTATATACATATATATCTAGAGCGCAACATTTCATTGCCTTTGAATATCTGTATGTCCACTCCCACAATACATACTAGAGACATACTGTGTGAGCGACATGAAAGTATATGTACACATGCTCCAACATGTATATATACACTTCTACCTGTGTGTGCATAAGAGCTTTAAAGGCACAATATATAGGGATGCAAATTTTCTAGAGAGCTGCAGCAAAGTTAAAACAATGTCACAACTGCAAGAAAAGTCAAAGGAAATATAGCAGAATTCATTAGGCAAGAATGCACTAAAGCAGTTTTATCATAAAATTAATCACAGAACTCAAGAGGCTTACATGGGACTTTGTATGCTTTTCATTAAAATCCAAATGGTAAATTTAAACCACAATGTAAACCAAATTCCTTAAATGACAATTCAATGACAAGTATGTAAATAAACCTAACACTATAAGTAATATCAGTCATAAAATCTGAGAACTTTTTTTTCATTTTCATTTTTATTTTTTTTAGGTACCAGGGATCGAACTTGGGTCCTTGTACTTTCAAGGCAGGCGGCAGAACCACTGAGCTAAATCCCCAGCCCTAAGAGTTTTTTTTTAAAAAAGTAAAATATCCTCAAGTTATCTAGGTAAAAGTTTCAAAATTAGTTTGGTTTTAATATTGGCTCTATGTTTGTTTTTGAGACAAAGATGATGACTACCCAATTCCTACAGATTACCATAGAAAGTATTTTTACAAGTTGTACCTTTCAGAAAATTTCAGAGATTAAAGATCTTTAAAAGAAACAGTTCAGAAGCTTATGAAACATATTTAAGCCGAAAGCTTCTAGCTAGAAAGGTAATAATTAAGAGGGGAAAACACAGTAATTTGTGATAATTTCCCCAAAGTGATGAGAGATTAACTAGAAAGTAGTGAAGAGAAGAATGGTGGGCCCTGTGAGTAGGAACAATTAGGATAAGTATTCATTTATGAGAGCTGTGAAGAAAACTATAATCCAACGGACTTCCATTTTAATATGCTCTGATGACATACTGTAGACCATTGCCTCCTCTGGCTTACAGAATAACCCAGAATTTTCCATAGACAAAAGGCTGTTTACCTATTATACACACACATTTTTTAGGGAAATATATGTATATAGCTTTATCTATACACACACATATACATACGTGTATATATAGATTTATACAAATGTATAAATAAACGATACTTTTCAATCTTTCCATTGACAAGGCAAGTTCACATTCAGCAAAGTGCCACCACATCCCATATACACATCTCTGTACAGATATACACAAAAGGGTCTGTTTTCACCCTGCAATCAAAGGGAATTTATTGTAATAAATCCCATTAACCAGCAACTGAAGGGAGAAATGGCACCATTACAAACTCCCTTCTTTCATTTGCATGCTTATGTACAAGAAATATGCAGATTTTTAAAAATCCAAAAGCAAGAATGAATGAAACCAAGAGATGCTACAAAAATATAACTGTAAGAAAGAACATATTAAGTTTCCTAGGTCTTCTAAGATGAAGGAAAGGAAGCCTCAAAGACAACTACAAATTCAGATTTATTATCAGAAGTCATTTTGAAATATTTCCAAGTACATGGGTTTTTATTTTTTAAATACTAAAAATGTGACTGGAACATTTAACTCTAGTTTTTAATATTTTACATCACAAGATTACTCCAGTAAAGAATATATAGCAAAATAATAACTTAAAATTCAAACTATAGAAATGTATTTTTAAAAAATTCCACATGAATCAGTAAAAGTCAAGAGTAGCACAATTTTTCCAAAAGATGAGCACAGGAGCACTCTAACCTCGTTACTAAGGGCACAGCTAAACAAAAATTTTAAAAATGTTTTGGAAATAGCTGAAATCATCCTACCTTTGAAATATGCATGGTGAAATGATCCCATCAATTCCTAAAACAAAGCAGCCCCTTTATATAATTTTTCATAAACCCCCATAATTTCTCTTAACTTCACCAAGAAAAGATAATCAATAATATCTTATAAGTGAGAAATGAAAAAAAAATCTATTATTAACATAAGAAAGCTCAACAGATCTCTGGTCCCGTCACCCCACTAAACACAGCTCCTGTCTGAGTCTGTCTATCTTTCCCTCTCATTTTTATGTTCAAAAGTGAGAGGTTGGTCTTAGAATCTGCTGTTTTTTATGTCACTTTAAAAACATAAGTTAATACAAAGGTTAAAATAAAATGCACATGATATCAGAGCTAGCCTTTGAACATAACATGATGAAGAATTTGGTGTATTTATACAACAGAGACAATGAGACAGTAACTCTAATACCCTCAACTACATAAATCATAATTTACAATACATTCGGTTACCTTTCTGTATTTTTATATAAGCACACATTCATCTCTCTCACACATATGCCCCCAATGTATATTTTTGCATGTGTGTAAAAAACACAGACATAAACACACACACAAGAAATTTAATTGTATTTTTAAGTCACAGTGGGAATTCCTTGGTGAGGAGGGATAAAAAAGTTCCTGAATAAGACACTGAGAACATCTATTATTTTCTCTATTTTTACTTCCCAACTTACAGAATAAACTGTAAATCAAAGAACAAATCAATAGGAAATAAAAGAGGTCTTAAAAACTTAGTTCACAAATTCCAGCTACAGTAGTTGGGAGTTTTACTTGATCTATGTATTTCTATTTACCCTGTAACTAAGCTTCTAGCCATCTTAAGTGTAAACCACAGATCATTCACTAAGAACATGATTCTCAACAGTTCTATGAACAATAATAAATGGTCTAAAAGGTGTTCTACATTTTGAGGCCCCAGGATACCCTTTTGTTTTATATATCTGCAAGGTAGCAAAGGATAGCTATACACCTTGACACGGCAGAGATCCAGTGTAAAAAGGTGCTTCACTAGTTTGTTTTGTCAAAAAAAAAAAAAAAGCTCATATATAATTTTTAGCTATTAAACACATAGCAACATAATTCATTACACTCAATACAGCTTTAGTATAAAACTTATAATTTATGAGGTGATGTTAATAGCATAAATTAATATACCTTTTCTCTTAAAATCTACAATAAGTATTCTGAAAGCTCATTGGGGAAGGAAATTTTTAAATAAAAGTTTTAAAGCTGTGTGCGATGGGAAAGGAGTCTACATATGCTGAAGCTGATGAGAGCCTGAAGTAGAAAGGAAAAGGTCCTAGGTTAGACACGTGGGCTGCGAAACCATATGTTTTCTTTCTTGCACTCTCTTCAATGATGGGTCACCTTTAGTTTCTTTTAAAACTATTCTTATTTTTAAAACTGCCCTAATTTCCGCAAGGAATCCCTGAGACGTACTCAATACTATAACAGTGAAAAGAACGATTACTGTGAGAAGAACAGACTCAACCCTTCCAAACAGATGAAGACAATGTCACCATGTGTCAACTTTTCCATCATGGCAGCACTATCCATTAGAGCCAACTGCACCTTAAGGGTGCAGGTGGAAGCCATTTCAGGGCCAATCAGTCTACTCCCCAGTAAAAGAAATGGTGTGGCACTGAGTTGCACTGGGGGCTTCTGCCCTGCATGCTGAATCATTTTCCATGGGGAACTTTGGGTGCACAGAGAGCTTAAACAAAGAAACAAAAATAATGGGAAAACAAGTGAAGGAAGAGGATTCTATTACTCTTCGGCCAAGATCACACAGTCATACTTCAGTCCTGGGAGCTGGCAGAGGCGAGTAGGGAGAAGAGAGGAGGAAAAGCTGTGCTGCCCAACGTCGCTCACTCAGAGATAAACACACTGCCCTCTTACAAGACTGTTTTTCAGAATAAACTTCAGATCACCCAAACTCTGCTCTTCAACTTTCCAAACATTCCAAATTAGGGAACACAAGGTGAAGAAAATCATACCAAATTTACTTTCTCTGAAATGCCCCATCTCCCCTGATTAGTTCTGTCACAATGCAAAAAAAAAAAAAAAAAACAGGGGCCGGGGATGTAGCTCAGTGGGGCCGCGCCTGCCTTGCAAGCGCAAGGTCCTGAGTTCAATCCCTGGTACCCCCTCAAAAAAAAAAAAGAAAAGGAAAGGAAAGGAAAGCAAAGCAAAGCTAACAAAAAATAAAGCCTGGAACTAAAAAGGAAAAGCCTCCCTAAGTCTGACCAACTAGTGTACCACTGCTGACACTGGTTATTAGAAGAGATGTATCTGTGTTTCCTAACTCACTGCCAGGGGAAAAGGTGTAACCAATATGTGCATATGTTCTTCGCTGAAACTTGTTACAAATCATTTGAAAGATAGCATTTAAAATGTTGCTTTAATCTACTAAATATGATTTTGGTTCCCTTTAGAATATGATACAGGAAAGGGCATGAGATTACAAAGGCCAAGATGTTAAGAAATCATTACAGTTTTACTTTTCTATAGAATACCAGTGAAGATTTGGTTATTTTCAATTTATTAAGAAGGAAAAAAAATCTACATGTATTCATGAATATATATATATCCCACAAAATATATGTTTTTTAGAAAAAAATCCTTAGAACAATCAAGTATTGGTAAAGAAATGAAGACTGTTCAGTATGAGGAAATTTCTTTCAAGGAATCCTCTCAATTGCCTCATTAACCTGGGGAGTTCTGCTGACCATTTAGCAGATCATTCTGTTAAGATTATTCAATATGTACCAGAATAATGAAATTTTAAAAGAAAGCTAAAAAGAAAGATGACATAACTGAAAAGTACACACCCAAAACAATTTTAATGAATTTCAAACCTATTAAGTAATTACTTTAGTTTTAATACCTCATCTTTTTGTAATACCAATCCACAACAACCTTAAAACTAAGTTAAAGAAGAAGAGCAGTGTTGCCTTACGCAGGCATTGCTGCTAAAGCCTACAATGTCCCCCATACCTGATGCAAGGCACAGGAAGGACTGCAGGACCAATGAGCTGACAATAAAGGATTGACAACGTGGACTCAAATTCTAATGCAAATTATCAACAGTTCGAACTACAGGTCCACAGAAATCTAACTTTTTCCTGTGAAAGGAAATGGTACGGACAGGGCACTGTGTGGTGGCGCAGACACGGTTTCCTCCCAGACACTGCAGACTGGGACCGGGACTGCAGGTGAACACTTAACAAGGAAAAGCTTTAGTGTTAGTTAGTCACAGAGAATGACCTAACCTTCAGTTGAGAGATTAATCAGAAATAAATCTTATAAACAGTTATTTGGCAAAAATAAAGTATTAGCTTTCTTTAGCCTTAAACCACAAAAGATGGTAACACCAAATTTTAAGAAAAATAAAATTTAAAATAATCGCTTTCCAACTTGTTCTCCATACCTATTATTGGCTTCTCACTAAATTATAATCTTCTCATAGAGGGACACTAGACATACCACACTGCCTGCCAACATGAAATTACTCAGGAAGTCATTTATAAAGCAGGTATATCGCACATGGTAGGTCTACTACAGAAAATAATCCTTTGCTGTATAAGCTATGCGACAATAAGTAGAAAATTTTTTCCATTGCATAGTCTGTAACTTGGTGGGTTAAATGTAATTGCTATTTACTATCCTGAATTGTTTACTAGCTACATAACCTACCCAGATGTGAAAACCGCTAAGCCATTTTGACAGAGGAAAAAAAATGTGTCATGTGCTTTTATTAAGTAATATTAACAGTTAAAGGAGAGAAACCCCCATCTTTCCAGCAGATGCTATAAATCACAGTCAGTGAATAACAGGTCCTCAGAGCACAGAATGAATGAATCCATTAACTGCAGCAACTTTGAAAATTAAGTCACAGTACATAATCTAACTGGCCTTTATAAATGGTCCCGGAGAACTGCAGAAACAGTGAAACTTTTTTGTCATATTTCTTCATGTGTTAAACACTAGAGTAAGAGCTACGTTTTACCTAATTAGGAACTTATGTAAGATCTGTTTCTGATTCCAGTACTGCCTTGTGATAACATAAGTGCCATTTTAAAAGACATCAATTTTTATAATTTTGGAGTAAAGGATACTTCATTCTCTGTACACTTACAGCAAACCTACTATTAATAGATTAGAATTGCTCCAGTAAGTAATAGAAAAATGTAACGGATATCTCTGGGCTTATAGATGTTCTTCTTTCTTCTAAACAAGAGACTCACAGAAACAGTAAAGCAAAGCAAAGTGAAAGCTTGGATATTTATTTTGAAGTAGATGAAAAGAGGAAAAGTGTTTCTGTTAATTATTCAACCCTACACTGCTACCTTCTAAAAGTGCCCTTTCCTAGGCTACTACCAGGGGCGACTAAACAAAGTGAACATACTGAACGTTTTTGGTGTGAAGCTGTAACTGGCAACATTCCCGATCATTTCATGCCTCCTTGCTAGAAAGCAGAGAAGGGCTTTTATTTATTTATTTGGTACCAGGGATTGAACTCAGGACCTTGTGCTTGCAAGGCAGGCAGCGGAACCACTGAGCTAAATCCCCGGCCCTAGAAGGGCTTTTAATTGGACATAAAACAGAACACTGCAAACAACACAAGTGCAACTTACTGCAAACTCAGTTCTGACAGCTGAAGAATTTGACACAAGGGACAAATAGCCAGAAAAAGTTAAAATCAACTACCATGACACCCTTCACTGTCAAAAGACTGATAAGGAAGTCCATGTGCTGCTCTGCTACAACCTTTCATTATTATTCAACAGAGACAAAACAAAACCACCGGGAATGCGGTTCTCTAGTGATGGTTATGATGGGATGTGAAAATAGCTTAGCAAACTAAATGACACTTTTGAGCAGAGGTAACTACTCATCATCATTTCATTACAGTGCACTAAAGTAAAAAAGCTTACTGACATAGGTTCACAGGTGAGAAGTATTCAAATTATCTCCTCTCACCACTCAGAATAGAAATTTATGGTGGTACCAAATATAATTTTGCTTTGTGACATAATTTATAATTTAGAAATTTCTCAATCTGCAAAAGAGACAAAGCTATTAAAAATAAATCTTCCAATCAATAAACATGATTCTTTAAAAAAAAGTAAATATATTACAAACATATTTTTGGCCCCCCAAAAAAACTTCAATAAATACAAAACAGGGCATATCATGATTTCATACAGGCATGTGACATTTCCCCCCATAAGCTCAGGCACATGGTATCTGCATAATGCCTGCTGATCACCATCATTCTTTTAAAAAGCAGAGAAAGAAAAGCTTTCAAAAGAAAGGTCTGGTTAGAACTAGCACGGCATGAAAATACATACAGGAAGTAGGAAAATACATCAAATTTTTACTTATTAGGAAAGAAGGAAGATGAAATGCTCCCCGATGAATGGGTTATTGTACTACATCATTAATACATATGCTCTCTCTACTTTTCTTTTAAAATATATATGTGTAAATTAGAGTGGACTCAGGTATACATAGCCAATGGTATTAAGGGAAAATGAAACTTCGCAGCAAAAGTAAAGATGCCTTTAAAATCTAGATCCACCCTCCTGGGAGAGCTGGAGGGAAAGGCAGGCAAGAAGAAACATCACATACTCATTTCATAGTTACCAACTTACTAAACTACCCAATGTGACTTTTAACCCTAAAATTCTGGTACTTTAAAAGAATTTCCCCAACCTATTTCCAAATTTACTTAAACTTAAGTACTTAAATTATTTTAAAAGTACCAAACACAGGTACAATTTATGTCTAATTTCCACATTCTGCTTTGAAACAAACTTTAAAATGTGTATCCTTCAGATATTACACATCACTTCACAACCGGTACACTGATTCTACAAGCGTCTTCAACATTTTACAAATCTTACCAAAGAATCACTACTGTAAACATGAAAAATTCAAAGCAAAAGATGGACCAAGGAGTTCACAGATTTCATCTTTCAGATCTATCTCACCTATTCTGCCTTTTCATGTCAAAACAGTTCCTTCAATTACATCCTGCAAATGTATTCCATGAGCAAGGGACTTCAAACAAATGTACATCTGAAAAGGGCAAAGTGACCGCCCCATGGCCACTCCAGGAAAACTTTCCATGACATCCCATTGCTGACACGATTTCTGCTTTTTGTGTCCTGTTTCTTCATGAACCAACACTTAACAGAAAAAGGCTGTGCTGTTCACACGACCAGGCCATCCACCTCTCTATTCAGGAAATTTTAGTTAACTCAATGGAACAGAAGGACCAACATTACTAGGGTGCGAGACATAGCAAAGGAAAAGAGCATTCTATTCACCATAGGGGGTTAAAAAACAAACAACCAGACGGCTACTTCCTGCACTGCACAAAACATACATATGGGTGCACACACATTCACAGGTGGTCAATGATACTGTTTCCTTTGTAGCCAACCATGATCATGAGTACGAATGACATCCTGGCCTCATCATGGTGGCTGGCAGTTGGTGTTAAGTCAGAACCTTGACCTACCTGTCCGCACACCTATTACTTCCTACACAGGAACCCAATGAATCATTCTGCCTAGACTCACTATGTAGAAACCTGGCTGGAGAATGGAAAGCATTGATCTGGATACTAGCAAATAGTAAAGGGCACTGGTAATCTGAGGTATCTTCCACTTCTAGGACTTGCTGCTCAAAATCAATCCTCTCCAGTCACTGTTCTGAACCACCAGGAAATGGCCAGGCCGCTGGGCCTGCCAAAGGGAAGGAGCACCAGTGCCAAGGAGCACGTGTGAACACTGAGGCAGGCCTGCTCATGGCCACCTGCTGGACTGGGAAGGCAGCGCCCCCTAATCCCCGTCTTTGACTTGGAAATCTCTGTAGGAAAGGGGAGAGGGGTGCTAAAGAGGAAACAAAGAAAACCTGGGTTCCCGCTTGCCTGGAGACACAGACGTGCTCAGTTAGGAGAAGGGAAGGGAGAGGATGCATTATTGGTACTTGTAGCTGTGGCACCTGTCACTGTGAAGCCTGTAGGGGGGGCTATGGAGCTGTGGCTTGGCTGCAGGTCCTTGGGGATGCCACTGTGAGCACTCAGCTGGTGGCCGAAGGCTGCGCTGAACTGAGGGAGCTGCTGCTTGGGAGAGGTGGAGGCCATGAGTTCCGCAGAAGGCCCCATGCCACTGAAGCTGGTCTGGGGCAACCCCGGGAGCACGCTGGAGCTGCTGGGGGTTGCGGTGGCGAAGGCAGGCTGTGTGGTCTCTGAGTTCGAGGTGGTGGGAGGTGTGGAGAGGGAAGTGGAGAGAAGATGTCCGTCTGCGCCGAGAAGGTTGCTGAATGGAGAGGGCTCACCGAGGTTGACGGGGAGGTTCCCCCAGTGAGTTCTGGGGTTTACCACTCCTCCAAGTGGCACCTCAAGTTGTGTGGGGAGCAAGTGCTGTGCCATGATGGGCATCTCTGCTGAAAAGGTAGCTGCCATATTATCACCAGAGTAAGATGTTGTGTGGGGCGAGGTGATATGGTCACTGTAGGGAGACGGCACGTGCTCACTATCATAATGGCTTCCGTGGGGCGAGGAGTGTGAATGGTCACTGCTGTATTGCTGTCGTGAGGTGATCAGGTCGTCTGCCTTGCTCAGCAGCTGGGCAGGATGTGGCCTCTGAGAGGCATGGCTGCCATCGTGGACTCCATGAAACTGTCCTGGGAAGGCTCGCTCCCCGAGTGCACTCTGGCTGATCAGAGTGGCAGAAGTAAGGCCAACGTTGGCTGGGGCAGAGAACTGCCCCTGGATCTGCCCTGCCAGGGGTGTAGGTGGGTTAGACAAGGTAGCAGAACGGAGCAGGTTTTCATCCAGCTCTAAACTAGAAAAATTATCAGGTACTATACGCCCGTTCAATAGCTCCCCTAGGTCCGTGTTCACTTCTCGGCTCAAAGAATGGATTCCTGAAGCTCCAGTGCCCGTGGAAAACACCCCTATTCCTCTATCTGACAGCTCCTGGACGGACACACCATCTGACTGGGAAAGGACCCCAATGGTACTCAGGCACTCAAGAGAAGTGACGGCCTGCAAGGCCCGCTCAAGCTCCTCGGCCTCTTCGCTCATCGGGAGGAGGTCTCCATTCTTCCCTGAGTCAAGAAAAGGCATCAAGAATCAGCAGAGTGCATATCTGCCTACAGTACAATAGCCACACATTTGAACTATTTTAATTAATATTCTATTGAAAGAGATGCCCTCCTGAAAAGAGAAATTTCTAAGAATTACCTTGGAAGGAGAAAGCAAAATATTAATTTATAAAAAATCTGAAACATCAGCTGTCTTGAAACTTGAACCACTATCTTCAGTTTATTCGTAATATTCTCAAAAGCTATCTTATCAACTGGGCATGGTGGTGCAGGCCTGTAATCTCAACTACTCAGGAGCCTGAGGCAGGATGATCACAAGTTCAAAACCAGCCTGGGCAACTTGGCAAGACCTTGTCTCAAGGCTCCGGTAACTGCCCAAAACAAAGCAAAACAAAAACCATTTCATTAAGTTCTTAGGAACCCTCTGGATTACCAATTTAAAACCTATAATGACCACGTGATCATACATGTTTTAGCTAAAATCATATTTAGGTCATTAAAACAGAAAGCAAGGCTGTGTAGAACAGGTGCACCTTGCTTGACCTATTGATGCCTACATTCTTCCAGCTGGGGAAGACTAGAACAGAGAAATTCATGTGTATATTTTATAGTACAGCATTAAGCACTTAGTTCATTAAGCGCTTACTTTTCATTGCTTGACTCACTAATCCTTCTCATTCCTTCCCAATTTTTCAGCCCACAAACATACTTCAATTTCAGTTTCAATATTTTTTTTTCTGGTACTGGGGATTGAACTCCGGTCCTTACACTTGCGAGGCAGGCAGTGAAACCACTGAGCTAAATCCCTGGCCCTCAGTTTCAATATTTTAAAAATCTATTGTTAGGAATTGATTAATCACCATGGAAATATCCAATTTTTAGTAGCAAAAAAAAAAAAAAAAAATTCCAAGAGTGCAAAAGATATCCCTTGAAACCACTGGGACAGAGGAAACTTTGTTTTGGGAGAGTACATTTCAGTTGAAGGACAAGGGTGGATAGTAAAATTAGGGCAGGCTCTTTTTTCCTCCAATACTGGGCACTGAACCCATGCTATTCACATCTTATACCACTGATCTGCATACTCAGCCCTTTATTAAATTAGGAAACAGTTCTAAAAGACTTTGATAAACTTATATTTTACATACCCTTTTTTAATATAAACTACAGTAAAATTATTCATTTTAAAGGAACGAAGTTATAGATCTCACCATCAAAGTATTAAGCATATAATTTGGCTAAATAAATTATACAGTCTTCACTTCTGCAAAGGGTAAAATAACTTTAGGAGTCATAAATAAATAAATATATATATCTACCTCTACAGTGAAAAACATGTTATATGAAGATGAACATTTCAGACACCTTCCCCAAAACGATTTCCCTTCTTATGAACTCATTCTTCAAACCAGTTTCCTTCATCAAAATATGGACCATACCTTCAAAAAAATCAAAATCCTGTAGGTCATCAGGTAGCCTGGGCAGGACATCAGAGAAGTCCTCCTGGTTCAGTTCCAAGTCGTGTGGAATGTCGCTGATCTCATTGGCAATATCATCTGGCAACTCATCAGCACTCAGCTCTGGGGTGGATGGGCTCCTGGAAGACAGTGTGGTTGATCCTGGGGCCATAATCTCCACACCAGTGTCACCAAGACAAGTTCATCCAACAAGAAAAGAAGCTAATGTCTGTTAGGGTTCTTATACTCAACACAACCATGGGAAATTATAATAGAAAACATCTCCTTCCTATGATAAGGAAATTTGAGAGGAGACACATTTCAAAAAGACCTGGTCACAATCAGTCATGTATTTCTGCAATCTGTATCAATGACTGAAGTAAGACAATCCACACTAGATGGTAGTTTTGCTTTATATTAATAGAATGAATCACAATTTGGTCTATCAAGTATATGTTAATGCATTTTAGTAGAATTTCAAATCTGGTTAAAATAATAATTTTTAAAATGAAATAAACAGGTAAAATTAAAATGCTTAGCTGAAACAGAAGCCATCTGGTCAAAATGCTTAAGTCTCATAAAACTAATAACATATCACATTTCTTATGAAATATTCATTGGAACACATGGAATTCATTTTAAAACAGAAACATCCGAGAATATACAATTACGTTCTCATTTTAGCATCTTCTCACTTTGCCACAGTCAAAGTTTTGATACTGGTAGGATGTGTAAACAAGACTACAAAGAGAACTATGGGCTGATCGACTGAATGGCTAGGATACCCACGCCATGGCAGACTGAGAACAATCAGGAAACACAAGGAAAAGCAAGGCTCGCGCCCCACTGACCGGATGTGAGGGGCCTCCACTGGCAGTGAGATGCTGGTGGGCATGCTGAGGTTCCCCTGGGGGACCGCAGGGGGAATGGGCTTCTGGGGTCGACGAGGTCCACGCCGTCTCTTTTTCTTATGTTTTTTGGTAAGTGCAGGAGGCTTGGTTTTTTTCCTGGGTTTCCTCTGCTGCTGGTGCTGAACTTTACGAGAGTTATCTCCTCTCAAGAAATTATCCTTTGGAGTAAATAAAAAAGTTCTTTTAACTGAGATTATCCACTGATCAACACTTACCCTTCTGCCCTCCTGGTTTGTAACTGTACAGTAAGGTGGCCACAGATAAAAACATTCTATGCATTTTAACCACTTAACAGTTTGCCCCAAGCATTACTTGGGCAGCACATTTGTTTACATACTGACTACCCTGTGTTTCGCTTGGGCAGATGTCATTTCATCCTGTCATTTCTTGTTTGCACAAGATACACTTGTAACATCTGTTTATTTGTTTTACATTGATTATTTTTTGGCATACTTTTTATTTAGAACATTGTATTCAATTTTGATGTTTGTTTCTAGTGAAATATAGTAAGTTCTGGTTATTTTCTTTTACTAATTTATTTGTGAAAAATAACCTACAGTCTATAAAAACTCTTATCATAAGTACATTAGATATAATTTTGATGCTCCTCCAAAACTCAGCTATATTCTTTTACAATATAAAATGGACATGTTTGGGACACAGACTGAACGGGAAGAAATGCCAAAAGATGTGCAAAAGAAAAAACTGAAAAAGAGAGAAATGTTAGTGTATCAGAGAGAAAAAGTCTGTGTTATTTCAACGGAAAGACAAAAAAAGTGATCTTATTGTCAAATATTCATAATACAGAAATGATAGAGTTTGAAAGAAATGAAACTAAAAGATTCCAATAGTGGTCAATGATTATAATAATTCTATGGGTGGTGCTGACAGAGTTGACCAATATCTAACAAGCTACCCTGTAATCAAAGTGCAAAGAAAAGGGCCGGGAATTTAGCTCAGTGGTTCTGGCACCTGCCTCGCAAGCACAAGGTCCCGAGTTTAATCCCCAGTACCAAAAAGAAAAACAGTCAAAATGCAAGGAAAAAATATTATTATAAAATATTTATGCACCTTCTGGACCAAACAATATGGAACTCATTTGTTATTTATTCAAACCAAGGAGGTGCAAAAAGTCACTTATAACTTAGATTAGGTCTAACAGACCAACTAATTGAAAAATATGGGATAGCAAAACACCAAACGAGACATCCATCATCGACGTCCTCACCATTATGTTTAGCAGGTAGACATGTTATTGAAATTATACCACCCACAGAAGAAAAGGGAAGGCCAACATGACAGTGTAAAGTGTGTTATTCAAAGGAAGGCAGTAATGCAAAAAGAATTCAGAGAGACTAGATACTACTGTCCAGATTGTAACACTGTTCTGTGTATTTAATGTTTTAAGATATAACAGAGAAAAATTATTGAATAAATTTGATAAAATTGCCATTTTAATATCTTCTATTATATAAAAATTAACAAAAAGCTATGCAATTTTTGGTCACCATGTATTTAAATAACTGGACTGGTAAGTAGTTTAAAAACTAAGCCAGGCATGGCAGTGCATGCATGTAATCTCATCATTTGGGAGGCTGAGGCAGGAGACTGCATGGGTTTGAGGCCAGCTCAGGCTATACAGTGAGTTCACAGTCCGACTGAACTACATAGTGAGACTCTGTGTCAAAAAAATAAACAAACAAATGAAAAAGCAAAACAAACCTAAAAGGATTTTCAAAGTTTTTACCATAAAAGATGATAAGTGTTTGAGGAGATAAGTTTAACCTGATTTAAACATTATGCATTATATATATGTAATGAAAGATCAAATGTTATCCCATTAATATGTGCAATTTTTATGTTTTTGTAAGGTCTGGGATCTGTAGACAAGAAAATACTCTAGAAGCCCCCTTAGGTCTTCTAGCTAATCCTGACTAGAAGGAGTTAAAAAAAATTTTACCAGAAAAATTCCCTTGGGAAATAGGTCAAGGATGAGATTAGAGAGAGAGAAAAACCAAATAAAAGAAGGGCACTAAATGGCCTTGGGACTTACACCAAAAGACCCAAGAGCTGACAGGCAGGACACAGAGAGAAAGCCAAGTGTACAAACAATAAGCCTCCCCCACCTCCAATACAATATAGGGGAAGGAAGGGGGGGCAACTAACTTTAAGGCACTGTGTATTCACACCTATGTATTAACATATACACTTTTACACATGTATATTCACTCTAGAGTCACTATATTATTCACTCTAGGGTCATGATAAAAGTACAATAGATATTCACATACTCACTAGCTCTAAGCTAACCATGAATAAGGTACCCCTTGCCAATGAGCTGCCCACTCCAAAGACAAGGCCTTAAAAGGTAGGTCAAAGACAAGCAAACAGACAAAAAGAAGCTGCGTATACCACTGGAAGAAATGCCGGTATACAGAGGTGCCCCAAAGCCAATTCCATTTTGGCACACTGCGGGGGGCGGGGGGGGATTCCTCTCTGACTCCTACCCCCTATAAAAGCAGCTGAGAACAAAGGCCCAGGGTCCTCCACCTTTCCACAGCCCCCTATCCTGATTCTTATGAGAGTAGCTATCTATCTTTTCCTTTCTCCCCCTTCCTTTTCCTCTTTACAAATAGTGTCTTCCTTTCATTAAACTTTGTTCCTCTAATATTTTATTGAGGCTGAATTTACGTTCCCAGCAGGCTGCTCACACAGCAGAGCAGCAGTCTTCGTCCCCCAGATGTGACACATTTGGTTCCCTGACCAGGAGCAGATGTGACATTTTCTCGTGCCAGTTAAAACAAATTTAATTTTTAAAAAACTAGATTATCCAAAAAAAACCTAACACTCTTTAAAAAAATTGTTCTCTTAATATTCTATATAATACCTAAAACACTCAAACTGTATTTATTTATTATTTTGGGGGGGGATACTGGGGATAGAACTCTGGACCTTGTGCTTTCGAGGCAGGTGCAGTGCCACTGAGATAACTCCCCAGCCCTCTCAAACTGTATTTAATAAAGGATCAAAAAATCATTTAATTCCCACTGATTCAACTCATTATGCATTTTAAAAACATCCTAAGTGCTATAGCACAAGAAAAAATTTAATTTGTAGTCTGTAAGAACTCTCCTTCAGGCAAAACACAAATAAAAATATACATAAATACAGTATACAAAATTAAGCCATGACAATATAAACACCTCTCAAAGGTACACAAAAAGAAAATTACTTGTAGTTTTGTGCGATTAAAGGATAAATGAGATATTAAGTGGTGAATGAAACAACACAAAGGAGAAAAATAGCAAAGAACTGGGCCTGCCTGCTATTTAGGGTATAATGGGGGATAAAATACAAAAGTAAGCTGTATAGAAGTTCAGGCGGAGAGGATGTATGGCTCTGAATATCCTGTTAAAAGTTTTAAACTTTATTTAACAGGCAGTGCAGAGCTATTTGCTTTTTTTTATTTCTGTGGTTCTGGGGATAGAACCCAGCCCTTCAGATCCAAGAGCTCCACTGATGTGGTGAGGATATCTGCGGGTACCACTAGGTGATACAGAGCACACAGCAAAAGAAGCTGATTCAGAAGAGAAGATAAGAATTCCGTGTGGCTCACATACAGTCTGAGATAGGCAGATGCCTAGGGAGCTAGGCGAAAGCTGTAGAAAGGAATGGAAATGCAGACAGGGAAATCCATGACACAAGGAACTGATGTGAGCAGAGAGATAATGTAAAGAGAAAGGTCAATGAACACACAGGTGTACAGACCTAAGAATGGGACTGATGCCTTATAAATGAGACCCCAGAGATGTCTGCGGCTCCCTCTCTACCACACAAGGATACAAGGAGGCTGGCAGGGTGCAACACAGAGGGGAGCCTCACCAGAGCCCAACCATACTGCCACCGTCTTTGAACTTCTGGCCCCTGGAACTGAGAAATACATTTCTGTTTTTTATAAGTTTTGCAGTCTGAGGCACTGAGATATAGCCCCTGGAACTAAGACACCATAGTTCATCAATTCCTGGAAGAACATTTTCTTATCTCTGTAATTGGGAAGGATTTTATAATCACTGTGTCTTACTGTGGCTGTCAGTCAGGTGATGGTCATTATAGTTGGCACTGCCTGCACAGATGCTCAGACTTAGCTACAGTTTTCATGCTGGCATCATTTGAATGAAGATGTGTGCGCTATTAGCACAATTTGAGGGAAAACTTGTGTATGTAGAAAGGTACAAAGAGCAGGAAAGTATATTACTGATATTAGTGAAGCAGGTACTCATAGTGAAGAACTGACTACACTCCTTTTTAATAAATGCAAAACAACAACCAAGTGAGAAAAGAAAACAACCACAAAGTGATAATCTGGCTTTCACATATCCAGTAGTAACAGAAGAGATTAGGAGTGACACAGACTTAGATAAAAAATCCACATCTACCCTGGCTGTGGTGGCCTACACCTGTGATCCCAGCTACCTAGGAGGCTGAAGCAGGATAACTACAAGTTTAATCACAGCTGAGGTAACTTAGCAAGCCAATTTCAAAATAGAAAATAAAAGCGCTGGGAGGTAGCTCAGCGCAAAGGCCCTGGGTTCAATACCGAGTACCACAGGGCAGTAGGGACGAACCCATGTCTAAGTAAGTAAGTTTGTTTGTTTATTGGTACCGGGGATTGAACTCAGGACCCTGCGCTTGTGAGGCAGGCGCTGGAACCACTGAGCTAAATCCCTGGCCCCTAAGTAAGTATTTTTGTTTTTGTTTTTGGCACGGGGGATTGAACTCAGGTCCTTGCGCTTGGGCAGCAGGCGGTGAAACCACTGAGCTAAATCCCTGGCCCCTAAGTAAGTTTTCAAAAGGCTCTTTTAATAAATATAAAACAAAAATTCTAAGTAATATAAAAACCTTGTATATTGGCAACATCTTTTCTTTCTTGATGGTATATAAAACAGTAATTTTTACAACTGATAGAATCTTTGATCCCATGAATTCAGCAATAACTTTAAATAAAAAGCTCATAACAATAGATTTGAAGACTAATAACTATCACAAAGCAAATAAATTAAAAACAGAAAAGTAAAAAATTAATGCATAAATTCGAGAAACCTAAAAGAAGTACAATCCCACTTAAATATCTGAATGCAAACATAATTATAGACTCATGTCACAAATACAAAACTGATCAACTGACTGATAGACAGACGCAATTCAACAAGTGATTTAACTCTCCACCAGTGCGCTTGGCTTCCACCTCAGGCTTCCCCACAGCACCAGTGCAGGGCTCTGCAGGAGGATGTCCAGCAGCTCTAGCTCCAGAGGTAACAACCAACTCGAAGGTACCCCTGGAACAGGCTCCTGCTCAAGTATACTAGGCCGATCCCCAGAGCCTTGTGACATTCTTAGCACCGTGTCAGATACTCCACATAAACTCCCCAGGACAGACACTTTGCCTTGATCCCCTCACCCAGCAACCACTCCCCGGAAGCTTTCCCAGCGCTGGCAGTTCACCTACCTAGCATTAATGAGTCCCCAAACACTACTCACTCCCACTCCCAACTTTCTACCTCTACAGCAGGACAAACTACTCTCTTAATTGCCACCTGTACAGGACCTGCTGCAACACCACATTATGCCTGCTAGACTGTGCTAGAGCCTCTTCTGTCAATGGGTATCCCATCCAGTGGTTGAGTTTCATTCAGAATCTTCACCTTTCCCAGCCATGTGCTTAAACATGAATTTACTCAACAATTACATACTGTACTGACCATCCTCTGTCCTAAGTACTAAGGATATAGCAACAAACAAAAATGTCTGCCCTTGTAAAGTTTACATTCTAATAGAATAGTCAATAAACAGACAAAATAAATAATTATGTTAAGCAAATAAATATTAGGAAGAAAAAAAGAGCAAGAAGCTAAAAACTGACAGAGCACCAAGGAGGTAGATGACTTCTTTGATGAGGGATTATCTGGTCAAAAACTTGAATTAAATGGAGTTGTGAAGCATGCAGAAATCTGGGACAAGAGCATTGCAGAAAAACAGAGAAGAGCAAAGCCCCTGAGGTGTACCAGAAAAACAGTAGAAGACCAACACTGCTGGAAGTCCAGGAAGGGAAGATGCAGGGAGATGGAGCTGAGGAGGTAGCCCCGATCAGAAAGTGCCTCTTAGGCCATGATAAGAATTTCAGATTTGAGGGCATGCTGGCACACGCTTGTAATCCCAGCACTCAAGAGGCTGAGGCAGGAGGATTACCATCAGTTCAAGGCTATCCTGGGCTACACAGTGAGTTCAAGGCCAGCCTGATCTACATAGCAAGACCCTGTCTCAAAAAACAAAACAAAACTCAGATTTGACTCTAGATGTGATGGGGAGCCATTAGAAAAGCTCAATCACGGAATGAAAGTGATTAGATGTCTATTTTAAAAGGTCTGCTCTAAAGGCTACAATGCTGCATGATTCCACTGATGTAACATTGCAGAAAATGCAAAATTACAAGGACTGAAAACAGACCAGTGGAGATGGAGTAAAGTTGACTACAAAAGAATGCAGGAAGCTGATGGGACCATTGTATATCTTGATTATGGGGAGGGTTACACAATGTCATGCATTTGTCAGACCTCACAGAACTGTGAACCAAAAAGACTGAATTAACTCAAACAAAGTGCAGCACACACAGAGCCCACTCTGGCTGTTATGTGAACACACTTGTTTGTGTGTGCAAAAGGATAGGTATATCTGGATGTGGTGGTACATGCCTATAATATCAGCACTCAGGAGGCTGTGGCAGGAGGATTGCCTTGAGTTTGAGGCCAACCTGGGCTACAGAGCAAGACCCTGTCCCAAAAACAAACAAAAAAAGGATGGGTATACAAGAAGAAGGAAGATCAATCAGGATCCTGGCTATTACAATAATCAGGCAAAGATAATGGTAACATGTTACAAGTATTTGTTGCGGTCTCTTAAGTAATTTTTAACCTAAAGCAGAAATAGCTCAAACAAGTATCAGATTCTGTAACTGCCTTCATTCTCATATTCTCTCTGACTCTCTGTCTGAGGTTTGTTTTTGTTTGTAGTATTGGGGACTGAACCTGGGGCCCGAACCTTGTGCATGCTGGGCAAGCACTCTCACACTAAGTTACACCTTTGGCTCTTTTTCTTTTTTTCCTGGTACTGGGGATTGAACTCAGGACCTTGCACTTGCAAGGCAGGCACAGCAAAACTGAGCTAAATCCCCAGGCCTGACTCTTTTACTTTGAGACAGGGTCTCACTGAGTTGCCCAGGCTGCCCTGGGACTTTCAGTTCTGCCTCAGCCTCCCAAGTAGTTAGATCACAGGCATGCATCACCACACTGGGTTGAGAAAATCATCTTCAAAAATTTGTATTATGAATACTTTTTAGAAAGCTATTAATTCATTTATACTATATTTTTAATTTTATATCACTATATAAAATATATTCTCATTTTCTGACTTAGGTTTGTTTCAATAAATTTGCCTATGTAGGAATATTTAACTAGCCAAAAAAAATAATAAATTGCTTTGAATTTCTTCAAAAGCAGTTTATATAGTTGTTATATAATTTTTAAAATTCACTCAAATTATTAAAACAGATTCTACAATACAGCTTCCCTATTTAACATTTTCCTACTTTTAGAACTATGCTGGAATTGCAGAACTTTAACATCAGAATAAATAACTGGCATCCTTTAAGGGGCTGAGGGCTTCAAGGCCCACATTACCAAGGGCCTGGGAATTAACCAAACCCACAGCAGTGGTTCAAAAAGCCTTACAAAAATTATTCCTCATCCATGACAAAGCTTCTATAGGATAAATAATGCCTATATTTAAAATATTTTAAAATGAAAATGGGAACGGGCCAGGGATTTAGCTCAGTGGCACTGCATCTGCCTCGCTAGTGCAAGGTCCTGAGTTCGATCCCTGGCACCAAAAAAAAAGAAGAAGAAGAAGAAAATGGGAACATAAATTCAACAGTATGTATATGTAGTCTGTAGTATTCAAATTTTTCAAAACACATGGCTCACAGAGGAAACTAAAAGCACTGGGGCTGTTGGTGAAGCAGCAGTGAATGACACCCATCGAAGCAGAGGTCCAGGATGAGCCATCAGCTTGTTTAGACATTCAGCTAATAACAAAGCCCAATGCCTGCTCTGTTACCCAGGAAACTGCAGAGTGCTTACAGAGGGCAGGAAGTGGCTTGTTCAACTTTTTGGTACATAAAGTACCCAGCACAATAACTGGCAGTAACTGATGGATGGGAATAATTATAAAGGAACATTTTTGTTGTTTGTTGAACTGCTGGGATAAACCAACATTCACCATACTTTTTTTTAGCACATCTCATAAGACATGATGTATGCAGAAGAAGAAGTACAGAATAGGAAAAGATAATAAATAAAACAATCTTAGCTCAGTAACTATAGACTGAGTATTCCTTATCTGAAATGCTTAGGGACTAGAGGCGTTTCAGGCTTTGGGATTTTCAAATTTTGGAAAACGTGAACAGAATTTACTGAAGAGTATCCTTATTTCAGAATTCTGAAATGTGACATGGAATGGCACACTGTCCTTCGTCACAAAACATTTCTCACTGCAGACAGCCATCAAGGGTTAACTCACCATTTTTTTGGCATGTTCTTCACACAGCGGTGTCTGGTGTGTGATGTCAAACACAGGCACCGAGCACTGCTGCCCATCTGCAAACCTGGCGGTGCAGCTGGAGAAGAGCTGCTGGGAGCGGTTCGAGAGGATGTCTGGGGTGTGAGTCAGGGCTGAAATACACTGCAGCGCTTCTCAATTTCTCACTCTCTATATAACATGTTACTTCCCCTGGTTGTGTTTAGTAAGTACGCATTTTATCATCTACAAAAGTCAAAGTGCTAACGGCTGAGCTCAGTGTCCTGCTCCATCAGAGGAAGCTTCTGGAAAAACCCTTGGCAAGTGGGCTCCTGACACAGCCTCTCTAACGGCTACTAGGAACCCACCTCTGTTACTTGGAGAAGCATGATCACTTCCTAACAGATTAACTCCTAAAACTTTCACTGTAACAAACTTTTTAAAAGACAATGTTCTGCTTATGATCCTCATCAAGGAGAATAAAAATGTAAAGATATTAAAAACACATCTGTCCAAAGTTTAGTATTTCATTTTGCATTTCCAACACCAAACTCAAATTCACAATTTATGAAAAAAGAGACATTTAAATCAAACTTTTACTTAAAATGGGAACAACAGTTTTCCATCATCAACATTTTGGAGCATTCTTGTGCCCTTAGCTACTACTATATTGCTGTAACATTTACTTTCTGGAGTAGGACTGTAGCTCAGTGGTAGAAGTGCTTATTAGCAAGTGCCAGGCCCCCATTTGGTTTTCCAGCATCAAAAGACACATCAATCAATCAATCAATTGATTCATCAATCAAGCAATGAAAAAAAGTTTATTTTCTATTTTTTTTTTTTTGGTACTAGAGATCAAACTCAGTACCATGCGGTTGTGAGGCAGGTGCAGTGCCACTGAGCTAAATCCCCAGCCCTTACTGTCTACCTATTAAGGAAGTATCTTTGGGTTCTTTATAGTATACAGTATTTGTAAAACCTTTATTATATAGAAACTGCTGCTGTGCTTGCTTCGGCAGCACATATATATAGAAACTGCTGCTGAAAAGGCTATGAAAATACAGTTTCAAGAACAGAAAGGAGGGCAAAACTCAAGAGTGCAAAGAGTACATAATTGCTATCACATAAATTTAAAAAATATTTAATAAAAGTGTTAGTAATAAATTTCATCATGAGCCTGAAGCTCCTACGTTTTCCTGAAGTGTATCTTAAGGTACCTTCTTTCCTAGCCAGTGACATTTGAGAGCTTTCTTTCTTTGTTTTTTTCTCTCTTGGTTTTTTGAGATAGGGTCTCACTATGCACCTCAGGCTAGCTTTGAACTCACGAGATCCTCCTGCCTCAGCATCTCAGGTGCTGGGATTACAGGTGTGGCACCATGCCTGACTTGTTATCTTTATTTCAAACGAGCACTGCACTCACTATAAAAAGCAACTTAATACTATAGCATAAGGCACAGTGCAAAACCTTGTAACTTAGAAGAATAAAAACAGATTTTAAACACTATGCTTTGAACTGGGGATGTAGCTCAACAGCACAGCGCCTGCTTGATGAGCGCAAGGTCCTGAGTTCGGTCCTCGGTGCCAAAAAAAACCAGCCCAAAATAAAACCACCATGCTTTGATTTTTCCATCGATAATTGTTATAGTTTCTTCTTTCAAGCTATGTGAAATCACAGTTCTATTAATAAAATAATTAAAACCTTTTTGGTTACAATCTGCTTTTTGAAACAATTTTGTTTACTTTGTTTTGATTCATACCTTTTAGACTCAAATAGATTCTGAACTTAAAAACAACTAGAAATTGGCTCCCAGTTCTGCCTGAAAGAGAATAATGCCACTTATACATTCCTAGTTCCTTCCTTTCCCAGCTCAATGTGATGAGAATGAAAAGTGAAAGAAAACTTTTTAAAGATTACAATGATAAAGGCAAGAAAAAAAATACTCAGAAGACTTCATGAAAATTTGAGCTACATGAAATTTACTTCAAACATTATGATTTCAAAGTCATTTCCTTCCTTGATTTAGAAATGAAGTACAGTTATCTCCAGCAGTAGAGCATTACCAGGCCCTGTGTTCAATCCCCAGAAACACTGGCGCGCATGTGCACACACACACACACACACACACACGCGCACACGCACATGGGTACAGAGCCCATGCTGATCAAAGGATACGCTGGAAACAGTGTCTGGTGAACGGAAGGGCTCTGTTTGTACACTGCTCACCCTTCGTGGCTCCGCTGCAAGCTGCGGGTTCTAACTCCTTCAACTTGGTCTGGCTTATGCTAGGGAAGAAAAAAACACAAAGTCAGTTGTTGAAAAAAACACAAAGTTAGTCGTTAAAAAAATGCTTTAAGAGTCCAAAGTAATCTTTCAACATTACTCCACTACTCCAGTTATTACAATGCAAATATGAGTTAAAGAAAGAGCAGGCATTACAATTGGCCAATGTGTTATTCCTTTAATCTATTGATATTCAAAGTAAACAGTCACATCCAAATCGGTAAATCGGTTTTAAATATATCTCTGTTATTTTCTAAGTGATACTTTGGTGGCTTTTACTTCACAAAGAGGTAGAAAAGTGATGACAAATAAGCCCAGAATCAGACAGACCTGGCTATGAATTTCAGCTCTGCCCTCACTGTATGAAAGCAAGGCACCATCAACTGGCAGCATTGCTGTAAGCATGAAGAGATAAATACATCCAAACTGCTGATATACAGGGCACAGTGAGGAACACAGCATCAGCCACAGTGGTCACCGTCATGAGGGTTCTGTTCCCTTACACTGTGGGACAGCACATCTTGCAAAAAGATTTGTACATGGAATGGAGGCAGCTGCTAAGATGAAAAAATGGTTGAGTTGCTTTTATCTGCCAAATTGTGCTCACTTTAGCCCCCTTTTCTTTCTTTTTGGTGTTTTGAGACACAGTCTTGCTATGTAGTCCAGACTAGTCTTGAACTCACTATGGAGACCAGGCTGGGCTCTAACTTGCAAAGATCCTCATGCCTCAGCCTCTCGAGTGCTGGGATTACAGATGTGTGCCACCATGGCTGGCTAGACATACTGTACTTTTAAACTTTGTTCCATTAACATTTAAATATTTTAACTTATTTTTAAACTTCATGAATAGGCAATGCATTTGCATGGTTTCAAAAATAGTAATAGTTCTATAAATCATCGCCTTTACAAGCCAAACTATTAGGCCTTTACATGTCTGTGTAGAAAAGAATCTTAACGTGAGTCACAGATCAGGCATCAAAAACAAAAAACAAGGTTATTTCTAGTATCTTTCTAAAGGTTTCAATGTAATGATTTATAATAATTAGATCAGGCCACACAGAATCTAAATTGTATATAAATTTACATAAAATCTAAATAAAAGAATACTTCTATTAGAATAATTACTCTCATAAAAACATTAAACACAAATAGATAATTAAATGCTGCCACAGAGTTTGCTTTAATTTAAGAGTTCTGCAAGGTTTATCAGGATCACAAGCCTGGGGAAGAGGATCATTATAGAATTAAAACTATTTATTGCTAATAGTTTATATGCTGCCCCTAAAATGGCGGCACTCACATTAGTTAGGTAAAAAAGATAGCTTGAAATAAATAAAGCTTACTATTTTGGCAGCTAAGCCCAATTTTCTTGATCTAGATTTAAAAAGAAGGGATAATCTTCACTGAACATTTTAATAATTTACTTATCTACCAAGCTTAATGTGTAACATGTTGCCTCATTTCCTTTCTCGCCTTCCAAAGAAATTGGTTTCATTTTAAAAAATCACTTTATGACGCTCTCAAAATAAATCCTAAGTCAGTTCAATATCCATAGATAAATTAAGGTTAAAATGCTTATTATGATGTTAGATATATTATCCAAATAATCCCAACCAAAGGAATTACTAAACCTTTTTTACATTTTTACTATGAAAAATACCTACTAAAGGGCTCCTTTTGCATGATCTACAGTACCCCCAGAAAACAAGTACGTTTCTGTATGGACAACAACACACAAACACCAGACACTGTAGGCTGGGAGCTGCTAGGTATTTAGATTTACATGAAGGTAGGTCAGTGATTTATTCTATTTACCAAGTATGAAAAGGCTATTACATAATAAAGAATATATTAACATTATTCAGCTTGTATATAAACCATATTTTAAAGAATATATATTAGAAAGTAAACATTGGGGGTCGGGGATTTAGCTCATGTTTCACTGCCTGCTGCACAAGCGCAAGGACCCGAGTTCGATCCCCGGTACCAAAAAAAAAGAAAGAAAGTAAACATTGGAGTTTAATTTCTAAAATATTTATGTGAATGTCTTTTGTAGACCAGTGACTTTGAAATGAACAACCGCACATGGAGGACATCATGCAAGTAACAACTAATTGTTCTGAACCCAACATAAAAATTACAGTAATAAGTGGTACAATATGTATATGTGCCAATTCCCCAAAAGGAATGTAATTATTATGTATCACAAATATATATTAATAAAAAGAATTTATCAATGACACAATGATCATCAGTGACATAATGTAAATTTTTTATTAATCATGAGTAACATAACCACATGACATCAAATCAACTGAAAGAGTAAGGGAACACATCAGGTTTTGTTTTTTTATCTGGTGACACATAATTTTTTTAATATCACACTGGGAGATGTTCTGAAAATGACTAGTTAAAAATCATAGAGCTGGGGTATAGCTCTGGTAGTAGAGCACTTAGCTAGCCTATGTGGGGCCCTAGGTTCAATACTCAGCACCATCAAAAAATAAAATACATATTAAAATATATGTATATGATATACATTTTTCACACAAATACGTAATTGTCCCAAACTAACTGTACAGACTTACACCTTTGACAAGATTATAATATACTAGACTCTTTGAAGACAGGGTCTCATTATGCAGTTCAGGCTGGTCTTTCTTGAATTCACTAAGTAGCCCAGGCTGGCCTCGAACTCATGGAGATCCTCTTGGCTCAGCCTCCCGAGTGCTGGGGTTACAGGAGTGCGCCACCACACCCAACAAACATCATTATTTATAACCTGCATCAAATTGAGTGAAGTGTTTGAACAAAGAGAATAGACTTTCACATAGTCAATGCCAGTCATTTGTTCATCAACAGCACAGATTTGAGAATAAAATGCACCTCGTTCCTACACTCATGGAAATTCCTTTCTAGCATGAAAACTTTATTCAGGTAATTCATGATCATTATAGAAAATGAAAATTAGACTTTGATTCAGCAAGCCATGAGCTCTGGTGTAAGGTTTGAGGTTTCTATCAAGATCCCAAGTGCTGTGATGCTGCAGGCATTCGGTCCATACTTTTAGCAGGAGCTGGGACACCACAGAATTGTGGTTCTTGTGCCCTCTGGTGGCCGAACCTTCCTAGTAGTACCAAGCAGAGAAGAGTTGATGTAGGAAGCCCTGCCTAATACACATTAATTTCTGCAATCTTGATTCCCCAGAGCCTAATAGGCTGCACCTTGATTTTGGCCTGGTAGTACAGGGGCAGAGCCTCCTCAGGCCTGCCTAGATTCCTGACCTACAACACTGTCAGCTCATAAATGTTATGTAGCAGTAGAAAAGGAATAGTTTTTTGAGACTTCCAGGAAGATGGCATTGTGGTAAGCAGCCACAAATCAGCCTCCCTAAGATTCAGAATACAGTCACTGGAAAATAACAGTTTGGGAAAGGAAGGAAGGAGAGAGGTGTATCCCTGGGACCCAAAAAGGACATGAAAGGAAAATTAGAGCCTACAGAGAAGTTGAAGCAGCAGACCACAATGAAGAAAAACTAAGGGGCAACCAGCACTTTCTCCTTGGCTCCTGGCTCATAGTGTGAGAAAGGAAGATACAGAGATACAGTGAAAGTGGTAACACCAGAGGTCTTCAAGAAGAAGTGCATCGTGGAATAGGGCAGTGGATGCCAAGCACTATAACAGCTACTAAGTGACTACAATCTAAACAACTGCCACATCCCCTGGAGAGAGAGCTTGGCCAGATGCCATTTCGGGTAGGGGCCCACTGAACCCAGGACCCGGAACAGCCCTGGGCTGGCTTCATCTCAGGGTTCCCAGTGTTGAAATCCCACAGTAACTGGTGAGCCACAACCATGGGAGATGTCCATGATCAAGGAGCTGTGGTCAGGCCAACAAGAGACACTCAAGAGCACTGTAGGTTGAACAACTCAGGCCTCATCCCCACAACCAGGGCCCAAAATAAGCCTGAACTTCCATGGAACAGAAAAGAACCAGAATGAGCACCCCACCCTAACCCTACTACAGGCGCTGGGACCATCTGAGACAGATCTGGGCTCTTGTCTGCCTCCTTTGTCTACCAGTGTCAGCAGACATACACCCTGCACTAGAGACTACCACAAACTGTAGACTACAAAGGTAACTACAGCCTTGATTGTTCTTGTTTTTTGTTGGTACCGGAGATCAAACTCAGGACTGTGGGCTTGCAAGGCAGGCAGCAGAACCACTGAGCTAAATCCCCAGCCCAACCACAGCCTTGAAAACAGAGAAATTTATTTTCTTTTTATCTTGACTGATTGCTTTTGTTTTTTCATGAGTGTGAACACTGTTCATAGGGTTTTTGTTTTGTTCTTGTTTTTTCCTTCTTTCTTTCCCTCCTGTCTTCTTCACCTGTTTCCCAAAGCTTAGGTAATCTTTTGTCCTTTGGCCTTGCTTCTAATCTCTTTCTATTCTTTTATTTCTCTATTTTTCCCCCTCTTACTCCTTTTAAATTTTCTCCCCTGAAGGTAAACCACTCTACTGAGGGGATATTTACTATATATAATTTGATGATTTTTTCTTTGGGGTACCAGGGGTCAAACTCAGCACCTCGTGCTTGCGAGGCAGGTGGCGGAACCACTGAGCTGAATCCCCGGCCAATGATGTTTTACATTTAGTTATGTAACTATAAAATCTTGTACCTATGGTAAAAGGTAGCAAACTAACAGCACAGTTTGTCATTTCCTAGACTATGCTTAGTGCTATTCTTATTACTGACTGTACTACTTTAGCCAAGGGGACAGAATTGTTTCAGTCAGTTGTTCTTCCTTGTATGACAACACTGGGGTTGTCTAGGGGTCATAAACAATATCATACTGCAATATCAAAGAACTGGGTGCTAGGCCAAACAGGCAGGAATGTCTCATCCCTAATAAACTGAAGAGGCAGGATCTTGGTTCAGACCCAAAGCCAAAAGTTAGTTACACCTAGAGCCTGGCACGGATTATAGGATTATTCCTGTAATC